ACACACACACACACACACACACACACACACACACACACACACACACAACAAATATTAGTAACTCCGCCTTGCCGCTGGATGGCGTTGGGTCAAAATAGAACGCTCTATCGAAGTGTTTTCTAAATTACCATTTAAGTTGTGAAACTGCTTTGTATCGATTCATAGGGCCTATGAGCGGCACTCCGGTACTTCCACCTGGTGGGATACTTGGATAAAAGCTCGTAGAATCATCGGTCATCGGCCACGGTGAGTTGACATAGATGATACGTGTGATTGCGTCTCTAATGTCGATCATACATCTACGTAAATAAACGCCTTGTGCATGGGAGACTGGGGCGTCTTTCTTCACCCTCCCTCGCTACTATAACTATTACACTGTATGTACGTAGTTTTCAAAATATCTTTCAGTATGTACTTACGTATTTTTCAAAATATCTTTCTTTCATTTAAAAACTAATCATAGCATTTTTACATTATCCAAAACAAACAATAAACCAAGCTATCAGGTAGGAATCGTGATCAATTACAGTGTGAAATATTAATTATGTACGTGATTTAAGATAATTTCATGATTTTCATTATCGGCTAACTTATTTTATTTCAGTAATAATTTGTTCACCTCAGCGTGCGAGCGTTCTTTGCATGCTAGCGTGGAAAAGGTTTTTGAAATTCGAACTTGACGAAGGGCTGTGGTGCATTTAACATTTGCTATCGATTAAAAAAAAAAGATAATAAATAGCATGTTCGACTACGCGATTATTCGTACATTACTTATTTAAGTAATATAAATCAGTTGGTATATTTATTTATTTTATATTGTTGACATTAAATTGACAATGATAACTAATTATGTTTATTAAATTATTTTAATTCGTCGAAGAACTAAAATAATTTCAATAATCACTTAATCATACAAAATAAAAGTACAAGCAAGAATAAAAAATTGATGAGGTATAAATTCAGAACGCATCCGAAAAAAAACTGTTTTTATAATTAAAAAGAAACTGATGTTTTATAGTTCAACTGTTTTTCTTTCATATACCATTTTCCTCGCAATAGTGAGGTGAAAAGTTCTTTGTTTCACTTGGCAGCGAAGTTGTTTTGCGTCTCGTGCCTTGAAGCTCTCGTTACGCTCAGGAATCTATTTCTGAACCACTAGCTTCTTTCGTGGTATCTCAGCTTCCTTCGCTTGATCAGGTTTCAATACAAGCACTCGTGTCAAACAACAAACTTTGCAGCCTTACATAACAAATAACTATAACTGTTAAAGCAACTCACAGGTAATTTAAACACCTTATGACTTCAAAATTCCCACTCGACTAGGTCATATCGGGTTTCAATTCGGTACTTGCTAGCATAAGAAATTCATTCAACTGTTCACTATCCTTATTTGGTTCTACCTACGATCGCTAATCAACCGTGTAGACTCTAGAATTTGGAATAAACTACATGTTTGATGTAAATTTACTTATCGAAACAAGGACCAACCATAAACATTTAATAATGTCGAATCTAATATCGCGAATAATGGTTTGTGGTACCGTCGTTGTTTCCAAGACAATATACCTAGAAATATTAGTTTTTTACATTGACCCGGCGGGGATCGATCCCGGGACCTCAGAGATGGCGTCACCATGAAAACCGGTGTACAAGCCACTCGATCACGTTGACGGTCAACATTAAATTTTTACATCCAGTAAGTAGTATATTTTAGACAGTATATTTGGGATAAGTAAACTGAAATACATCACCAGCAGGCTAACCACATAAGGTGAAAGTAAAGATTAGTAGAAATATTAATTTGAGGAACAACACTTGTGGACCGAGTGTACTTTCTATCACTATTACTCAACGCCTCGGCCACAGGACGACAGGTAAAGTAAAGGCCGTAACAAAAAACAGCTAAGTATAAAAACGGGTACAATAATATAAACACACTCCCTACAGATTAGAACTTATTATTATATGATTGGTGAACTTACCCCAAAGGGCCTGTATTCGTGTTATTGCTACTTATAAGCAGTTAGGTTTACATGATAGGATAATACGGTCTTTCATCTCCGAGAATTTTGTGGGAGTGGCGACGGAACCAAGCAAAGTAAGAATGACGAGGCAAAAGAATTAGAGAATGATTCAAAATTTCAAAAGGATGTGCCCAGGAACCAGAGAATAAAGATCTCAGAGAGAAGAGAAAGAAAAGAAAAGGTCGCATCGTCACATACTACCAAAAGATACACAGGTTATAAGTAGAAATAGTCATTTGAGAGACAACATTGCAAAAAGATAGAATAATTATACAAAACAGTTTATGAACGGTAATACTGAGACGGAGAGAGAACCATCGCGTCGAGCTTTCTTTCATCCCATAACCGGCTGTAGTATCTATATAATAATTATATCCATGTCGTTGTGCAGATAGATACTTATAGTGAAATGCAAAATCGGATTGGCATTTTCATGTTTAGTTATAATTTCTACACATTTGCAATCAAGGCGTTGTCATAAGCTAGTGCGTATTTCATTTTGTAATCAAGTTTGTGACGATGCGATCTCCTTCATCGTCATCCCACCTTTTATTTTTTGTTATTTACTCCTTTTCCTGCATTATTTTTACGTTGCTTCGTTCTTGTCATCACTCTCATCAAAATCTTCTAATCGAAAGGACGTGTTTATTTACCATCATATGTATATGCTAACAATAATGTATCCGTCCTTTATTTGGGGAAAAAATATACATAGTTTGTTAGTAAAGCTTAGCAAGAAATTTTAACAAACTAAATTACCATCTACAATTTATGACCCTTTTATTAAGTGACACAATAAAGGACTATTGAATCTGTTGACGAATGTCATAATAATAAACAATGGGGCAAGAGTCTAAAATAGATATCCTGGTCTGCGACGCAGAGGTCCCGAGTTCGTTTCCCGGACCGGGAAAAACATTTGTAGGGCCTACATTTGTTTCTCTCGTGAGTTTGGGTTTAATTTATGGTTGTCGTGTGTGTATATGTGTGTCCATGGCACCCACGATACAAGGTTTCTCCAGTGCGGGGCTATGAGTGTGTTATTATTGTTAACGTGCTAGACAGCCACACCAATTGCCTGGTCTCAAAGTAGGGAATTGTTGTACTATTTTTACTATTTCGTTTCGTACCCGGAACCTCATCATCCAGTGCCCACCCTGCACCGTTGGGCCACCGATCTCTTCAAGATGCTATTGAGGCTACTAAGCACACGACAAAGAGAGAAGAGGCTTTATTTCACTTATTAATCGACTTGAAACCAGTGTTGGGCGTTAATCAATTAAATTTCAATCAGAAATTCAATCAGATTAAAAAATCAATTCAATTGAAATCAATTGCAATTAATGTCAATTGAATTGATTTTAATTGCAATTAAATTAATTGCAATTAATTTTTTTAGTTGTTTTAAGAAACAATTGAAAGTAACAATTAAAACCGAAACCACCCCTAAGCCACCCCCTAACCCACCCCTTAAATCACCCCCTAACCCAGCCCCTAACACCACAACCCAAACCCTAACTCACCCCCTAACTCACCCCTAACCCCCTCAATCCAAACCTTAACTCAACTCAAACCCTAACCACCCCCTAACCCACCCCCTAACGCATCTACACCCATCTACTACTCGCAACTTTGACAATGTTGTGTTTCTATATCCATTTCTTGGGCACCATTCGGTTATCGCCATACTCCACCTGATTTCACCACGTCTCGCAACACGTCCCGCCTAGCTCCATTTTAAACTTGTTATTCGCTCTCTTATGTCCTGGAGCTTAGTTCGTCTACGATTTCGGAATTCGTAACTCGATCTATAAGTCTGATGCCGAGCATGACTCGCTCCATGGCTCTTTGCGCGATTCTGATTCTGTACACAGCCTTTTGTGTGAGCGTCTACGTCCCGACACCGTAAGGTGACACTGTAGTGCACGTTCACGGAGGCACACACAGGTGGCTTTCATACCATTATTCGAAAGAGGGCTGCGCTAATAGCATCCTAGCCATTGTTGCCAACAGACTGGACTGCCCCTATCGATGACATTGGGTGCAACTACACAGCTTTTCAAACACTGTGGAGAATCAACCGATTTTAAGATGTCATCCAGTCTACCGAATGCAGTTCATCCCAGTTGTATGCGTTTTGTGATTTCATTTTGCTGATGCTCTTTACATGCATAAACATACTGGTCAACTGTGTCCAGCCTCTCATTTCCTACTATAAAAATAGAATTTGTGGTGCTGGAGACATTCGCCATAACTTTCGTCTTAAGCCGTATCGCTATTAAAAAATATTAAGGCAGGTCAGAATACCTTGTGTGTGTGGTGTGTCACCTTAAATATCTCTGAATAGTATTGCAGCCAAAATTGTAACAGAGCAAACAGTAATGGCAAAGAGGAAATCGAATAGTATTAAAAAAGACATTTATAAGTAATTGTTATATATAGCGGTTAAGAGTAAGTGATTAAAGGCTGAAAAAGACAGAAAGATACGTCGGTAAGAAATAACAATTCTAGTCATGCCATTATTACTTAATGCAAATGCTCCGCCGTCGACGTTAATTGGGGTAGCAGCACTATAGTTTAGATAGCGGTTCCTGAATTTGGGCCCCACTTTCTTCAACAAATATAATAAAATTGAATTATATACTTCTTATTAACTCTTGTACGTCTTCCCAAAGTTGAGCTGCAATTTCTATTAGCGTACTCACCATCTGGCAAATCGGTGCCCAAGATATCTAACTTTTGTCCTGGTGTAGGGCCGTACTCGATTTCGAGCTTGTGTGGAATGTTGTTTGTTGCTTCTTCGCTTGCTGGAATAAGAAAATCATAGAATTGTTTGTGTATGTTTTTCTTCTTTAATTGAAAAAAAAAAACCAATCTGTATAAAAATACACCCTTGTTCGGTATAGGACAAACGCATACTTTCGATGGGTATCATAAAAATGATGCCGATCGAAAGGGTCAATTATGAGGATTAGGTACTTCTTTATAATTAATCCCTATAATTGACCATTTGGATCGGTATCATAAAAATTCCGGTCTTTTTGTCACATTTGGTCGATTCTATTCCCAGATGAGTTGCCTCTTTTCAAAATGCATGCAGTATTACATATTTTTGAAGTAAAATATTCTGTCTGCAATATTTAAAGTACCTTCCCTCCGTGTTCCATAATCGTGGGTGCATATAATACTCATTTTAACTAGGTAGTATGTGTCTCGTAGTACATCGCCCGACACAATGCATTTTAGTAACAAGTACATGTTAGTTTATCATACAAGTTTAAGTAGCTGTAGAGCTCATTGTGAAAGAGTTTGTCCTAGGAAGTACTGCTTACCTATTACTCCCGCCAAGCAGAAATATATTCAATACTGCGTTTCCGTTTTGAAGAGTAAGGGAGCTGGTGAAATTACAAGCACATGGCACTTGTCAACATATGTCTCAGGGTGATGGGCGCAGTCACTCTTAGATCCTTGTGATTTAGAGTTCTGAGTGGCACTGCAACAGGTATGGACAGGCGTGTCGCTTACCACCAAGTGCACCACTTGTTTATTCCGTCTTAATTTTTTTGTTGTTAATTGTTTTATCGATTTTTTTTATTTGTTGTGTTGTCAATAGGTATCACAAAAAAGTAGCTCTAGTATCTTTACTACATATACAATTAATACTTTACATATACAATAAATGTCGAATATTGATATTTTACCATCGACATGACTGAACAGATTTGATGGAAAACCCGTTTGTTTTAGAAGGGAAGTTTCCATTAAAAAGAAAAAAATGAAATACATTTACGGGCATGTAATTAATAGTATGATTGTATTACCAGCAGTAACAAAGTTGAGGTGATGTTGCAGAACCTCTTGAAAAGTCGGGAATCGCTGTGACCACTTGCTAGGAGTATACTCCCGGTCCAGGTCGATGGTCTCTGTTATTAATGACATCTTGTTTTCTTGTGAAGTCTGGAAGAAAAGATAGTAAAATAAGTCGTATTAGCGAAAAATCTTAGCGGGAAAAATTCGGGGTGTTGATAAAGTACAAGTTAAATTTAATAGGCTTACTTATTACCAATAACGCTAAAGAGGCTAAGTTAATTCGCGTGTTTTTTCTTATCTCGTTCAAAGCACAATCTGCTGTGATAAAAGCTATTTAAACACAATGCAAAGATCCGCCGTGAATCCGATAGTGAAACAATAGACATCTGCTGCTACTTCCGCAACTACGGAAGATTCATATCTTTTCTTTCCAGGCTTTTTCACATCTGTTTCCGTTTCTGCTTCCGCAACTTTGATAACAGAACTTTAGTCGGAGTTTATAATGTTAGCGCGGTGGATTTCAGGCGGGAGCACAGTGCTTGGTGGTGGAGCGTTTTTTACCAGTTAAGTTCAATTATGAAAACAAAAACAAGCTCAGCTTTTTCTTTCTTTTTTGTAGTTACAAAAACAAGTTTGTAACTATTTCGTTGAGATCTTTCCATAAAGTAGGTATTGTATGTCAACCTATCGCACGAGATCACCGACATATGGGATGTGGCCTCCACTTAAATAATCCCAATAGTTTTGTCCGCAAATGGGTTAATTCCAGTCAGCCTTGCTAACAACAGCTTGAGGCTGATGCATTTCTGTGCATTTCAAATGCAGAAGGCGGTACTGCTATCAAGCAGATACGGCACGTATTGTTTGCCGGTTCTCGAACCTGAGTCGCTGACCCCGGACGACTGTGCCATTGCCGGGGAATACCGTCTCTCCCATTTAAAAACTCAAAATTAATCTTTGGTGCCTTGGGAGAGGCGAGAGTCTAAAAAAGATAAGTTAAACGTACTAATCTTTGACCAGTGCCAAAGATTGACACATTTAAAAAATGAAACAAATATTGATATAACTCCAAAACCGTGTTAAATGTAGGGGAGACCGGGTCTGGTAGTCCCCGGGGTAAGTTGTTCTCACAGCAATAACTTTGCAAGAAAACTATATAACAATACATATGAGCACGTCGTTAAAGCATCAGGTGATGCTCATTGCCGGCAGTCATTTCAGTTACTGCGGCGACGACGGAAGTGTGGCTATGTGCGTGGAGCTGTCAAAACATCACGAAGGTACGTTTTTTCTTGTTTGAATTTTTATCTGTCTTTGTTTATTATGGGCCGATTCATACGTAACTTTTCTAAATTGTAGTGACATTAGTAAGGAATCTTATTGTTTGAGAATTTTTTTCATTGATTCTATCACTTTGCCTGTATGTCAGTCTTCGTATAAAAACGTAATTTGGGGCTATAAGTTCCCCCCTCGTGGGCTGGTTCTTCCTAGGAACAAAAAAATTCAAAATTCTTATTACCATTTTTCTTTGTTTTGAGGATGCGAAACTGCAAACGGGCTCATGTCAAATATTTAGACAAGATGATAGAGTCACTTATGTGTGTCTTGACTGTGATTCAGATGAAGAAATGAGCTATGAATAAAATTACTGATAAATAAGAATGTAGTCGTTTTTTTTTAAGTTAGTTGTGCATAATATGAATATTACATACATACAATTATAAAAAAGGTGGTTTTATTTAAGAAAATCCTTGTTGTCCTGTCATAATTTAGGCGGAACAATTTGCCTCAAAGGCGGAACAACGCGCCCCAAAGCGGGGCTGAATGTTCCGCTCCGAAATTTGTCAAAAATTTGCCTGTATGAAAAAGACTATTGAGATATTTGTAGAAGTGACAATACTATTACAAAAAGCGGTAAACATTCGTTCAATATTTCCACATGTTGAAAATCAAATCCTTCATTTTCAGTATAAAACTTCAACTTATTTGAAAATCGGAACGTTCAGCCTCGCTCTCCCCACTAATAGTGGCATATATGAATTCCGTTTAGAAAATTTCTTCGATTCACTCAATATTTTTTCATTACGGCGACAATTTTTGCGAACAGGTGATCCGAGTTGAAGGCGCGTTGGTGTTCTTCCAAGAATCGTTAAGACTGAGTAGTTAGTGTTAATTATCGGTAAGTGTTTATTAAAACTGTTTATTAAATGAACATTTTTTTAAACTTAATTTCTACCATTTGTTAAGGACGGAGAACGTAGGTTTGATTACTCTGTTAGTGACAAGTTTCTGAGGGTAGTTTGAGTAGTGTTTGACATGTATGTCAAAGACTGTTTTACTATGGGGACTCAATGCTTGCCAGTCGTATATTGAGGTGTCAAATATTAGGACGTAACTAGTGTCAGCTATTAGTACCTGAAGGTATGCAAAGAGAAAATGCCCCCACATTATGATGATGATGATGAAGTGTCTAAAGGGATTCCTATCAATGTTAGATGAAAATATTTTTTAATGTTATTTAAAACTATATAAATATGTTATGATCAAGTGACATTTAAGTTTAATTTTTGTGTCATGTTTTTTGCAATCTTATTGTAGATGTACAGGGTCAAGAGCACGTCAAGCTTGACACTTAAAATTTAAATCCAACTCTATTACGATAAGAACGGTCCAAAGTTCAAAGTATTAGGCTTGACGTGCTCTTGACTGTACGTATTTATTAATTTTAACCAAAGCATCTTGTTTGATTTTGGCTTTTGTTCTTCTTTAAATTTATTGTTATAAAGTAATGAAAGCAGTTAAACAACTATGAACTCTTAACATCGTGTCTTGTCAAATACTAGTACACTGGTCTTATTTTGCCATAGTCAACTATTGGGACCACTTTTATGTGGTCTGTAATTGGGACATTAGAAATTTTGTCTGTAATACACTGGTACATTTTTAGAGGTTGCGGAAAACTGTAATATTTTAATAATGCTATGATTATTTTAAATTTCATAGTTTCTTTAAGATAAATGACAAACCGTTTAACATGTTAACATACTTATGTAGTCAGTATCACGGATAATTAAGTACTTTTTTTTGCAAAACACGCTATTTTCCGTCTAAAAGCGTCAACCACTGGGGCATTTACCTTAATAATAATAAAATTGTTTATTGAATAACTTATTGTACAAAGGAACAATAAAAGAGTAATTATGCGAATTTTTGTAAAATATAACACATGTCAGGTACAACTAGGAATATTTAACATTTATGATCTTACCATACCATATGGTACATTATGCTACTATATGGTAGTTCATCGTAATTTATACGTTTTATTTCAAAACTTAACCTTACCTCTTTCATTTCTTTAGCATTTATGTCACTTTTAACAATAAATAATGGTTTAAATAAACATTTGAACAATAGTACGAAATACGTTCCACAACACCACATTCTTTCCATACGTGTATCGCGTTTACTAATTATCGATTAACTGGTATTTAAATTATTTCATGTAATTCTACTGATGCTAAACAAACTGGTTTAAAAGTTTATATTGACGAAGTGTAGAGTCCACTTCTACAACTAATAGTGCTCGCCTACGCACCACCACGTACCTCCGTGTTGACGGTCTAACACTGACAGAGATCCCGCACCGTGTTTCATGTGTGTGCCATGTTTCAATGCAAATGTTTAGTATGTTCATGTATTTCTTGTAAAGTACCTATTTTGTTACAAATGGTTTGTATGATATTACTTTAAAAATGTACTCAACTTGAATATAACTTTCGTGAGCCCATTTTCCCTTTTCGTCTGTTTTTTTCTTCTTAAGTCGCATGGTTTCCTGTACTATCTATTTTCGTATATATAGTAATTTTATGGTTCGGGCTAGGCTGTTATAGCCTTACCCTTAACTCTTTCCTGTATAGGCAGCTACCTACAATTACAGCACAAGACACATTTTTAACCGACTTCAAACAAAAGGAGGACGCACGTTTTATGTATGTTTTCAAATTTCTCCGTTAATAGCAGACCAATTTTGAAAATTCTTTTTTTTGTTTGAATGGGTCAGAATTGGATAAGGGGATCCATAGAAATCGAGGATAATCCTCAAATTGTTAGGCATGTCACTGTACATACCTATTTCTCCATCAATAGTGGACAGGTTTTGAAAATTCTTTTTTTCTTTGAAAGGGTATACTCTCGAAGGTGGCCTCTGATGCCGAGGATGCTTTTCTCTGTTCGTTTCAGTTATCACAAAGTAAAAAAATATTTTCCGCAAAAAAAAGTCGACTTTTCACTTGGCACAATGCATATAATCAACAAATCACCGTCACCATGACAATCAGAAAAAAGTATAAAATGTACGAAGGAGTCCGTAACAGTCCACCTGTCACCAAGAAGACAAAATCTGACGAGGGCATCCCATGTAAATAAAAAAAAACCGATAAGCAAACTTTTGAGGTCGGTTTTTTTTTCTCAATGAAAAAGTTACGATTATACTATAACACTTTGGGTATAGCCGTAGTGTATAGAGATCCAAATAGTAGCAGTAGTTAGTTGACTAACAGTAGTCTCTCTCTAATTGTTAGAATTGTTGTTTTTTTATAAGTATGAAATCGTGTACCGCTTGAAATGTGGCCAGGAGAGTAAGTAGTAGTAGTAGGTAGTAAGTGTAGGTTACTTACGGCAAACCTACTTATTTAGGCTACTCCAGTTTTTCTACTTCACGGTTGATGGTTGTTAATTATATTTGAAATATTCCAAAATTCCACTAAGCCACCTTACGACATTTATATGTTTACACAAAGGCAATATTTTCCATTTAGGTTAATAAAACAAGACAAGACACACAATGTTACTTATTTTGCAATGTGAAATATCCACTATTCACTTTATTTGTTGAAGTGAGCTGTAAGTAAAATAAATCAATAAATGAATTTAGTTAAAGGAACATAATTAAAAAAAAATAGTTTAAAACTTACTATATAGTAAGTCGCTTTGCTTTTGTTTTAGGCGGTTTGCTTATAGTAAAGTTGACCATTAATAGAAAGTTATCGGGTCAGCTATATGCATCGCGTAAACAAGTAGTGATAACCATTGCGTAATATCGTCTTGAGCATTTGAATCGTATTACCTGGTTGGTTTTTAAAACAACACAATGGTTCGCAATATATCCTCATTTCTTACTTTTTTTTTACTTACGGTTAATTCTTTACCCTCGTCGCCATTTGTAGTGTCCGCTCCTACAAGTAATAGCGTATTGGCATTTGGCTCGCCTACGCACCACTTCATGCCTCCGGGTTCACGGTTAAACACTGACAGACCACTTCCACTCCCGCACATGTGACGTATGCGCTCGAGACAAATCATAGACAATCCACATACATCACACGAAGTAATTAGCATGGTCATGATCAGGGTAGTTCGCTGACATCTTTAAACTACGCACGGTGAACCACATACGTACATGTACGAGTCAAAATCCATTGATAATTTGACCTTACTATGACTTTAATTCAAGGTATGGACGAGTAAGAAATTGTTTATTTTTGTCTTTGACCGCGGCTATTTTTATTAAAATGCTGTACCTTTCGCAATCGTCAGTATAAAAATGAAATTGTCAATAAACAAGACATACCTATAAACCTAACAAGTCGTTATCATTTTACAACGTGTCCGTAATATCTTTGTGCGATCTGTTATCTTTATGAGATATAATTTACGTTTGGATTCACGATTTGACAACAATGTTAGCTAATTGTTGCCTTTATAATGTGGCATAGGAGATATATGTCTATGTTATATGTCTTTGTAGGTAGATTGTAGATATATGAAGATAATAAAAAAAAACAATACGATTATGTCACGACATTAGGGTAAAAATTATAGTCACGAGCTGATAAACGTATCAAATGCACAGATAAATCGAGAATTAGTTTTGTAAACCCATTTAAACAGTAATATTTACCTTAATTTAATTCGTGTTCGTACATTGTACTTGGTTGGTTTAAACATGGTTTAAACACATTTAGGTTATTTAAGTTTATAACGTTGTTTGTGTTGTTATTAATTTCATGAAACAATGCCACGTACGAGTCACTTTAATATTGCTTTGACGTACTGTTAATGCTAGGTTTTTTCTCTACTAATCGTCACACCATTAGTGTATAGTATAAAACGACAAGTATGGTAACTCCATATAAACGCGGCTTGTGTGTGTACTTCAACTGCGAACCATGTACGGACGCACACATTCGCATAATGTCGCGGTGCACTCACGTGCGGGTAGACACACGCGCCATTCGTTATAGAATTGAAACGTTCTTCTATATTAAAAAAAAATACATCAAATGGCAGATATATTGTTGTGTTTATGCTAGTTTCAACTAGAACGACTCCAGTACAGAATTGTTCAGCATTTTTTTTCCGCGATGCTGGTATAAAAATATCAATATGTAAGTACTGCATTTAACCTTTGTTATTTCAATATAACATGAGATTACTTATTGTGATAGGAACACCTTAACTTTTAAAAATTATATTTACAACCTCCAGGTACACCTAAAATAATAATGTGACAACCCTACGCTTCGAACGAAGTGTAGGTTGTTGCCTGCTTTTCTTGTCTTATTTATGGTTAGTGTTTTTACAAATTATTATTTTTTTATGTACGGGATAGTGTCACGTGATAAAGTGAAGAGATAAAAATAATTTATATGGCTATATATGTATTTATTGAAAGGTACACCATCAAGACCTTGAGACTTTAGAAAGTTACACACATACATTACTACACAAGGTTCCGAGTCACTATATTACGCCTCCGGTAAAACATAGTCTTAACTGCAAAAAATTGTGATCCGCAACTTTTTTTAAACAGGAATCTAGACGGAAAAACAGAAACCCATTATCATTCCTTCATTTTTCTATACAGGGCGTAATGCGTATTGAAATAGTATATAACGTTTAAGGGCTCTAAATACAAAACTTTTAATTCATTTTCTGTAAACTTTACAAATGTAATTATGTTAAGGTGGCAGTTCTTCCCTGGACTAACTCTTTCACAAGGAGCTCTACTGCTACTAAATTTTCTCAGAGGAATCTGCTTTACGAATGAGTAGTAGAGTTTAATAAATGTGACGATTTTAACTGTAACTTGCTTACCTACCTATGAAAAGATTGTTCCAGTTTGAGACTTTTACTATTGTCATAATATAATAATAATAAGATCTATGCTACTGCCATGTCTACAATCTAAACTGTTATGGAAATAAATTATATAAATAAAGTGATAAGTGACAAGTGATAGTGCAGATGTAACAAAGTACAGTTATAGTTAAAACGTGTCATAAACATATATGTCGTGTTTGTATAGAGCAAATTTATAGGGCTTAGTAATGGTGACCCATTTTTTCTTACACCCTTTCATTTTCATTCTATACCTCTACACCACGTAAAGGAGATACATGTATAGTCAATACGTAATTAACTAAAAATATTCTAATCTGGTTTTGTTTACAAGTTACGGTTTCAGATAACATCAAATTACTATATAATTGCTCATTAGAATTCAATTGTGACTAACATCTGGTACACATACATAATTCGACGTACAATTCAAAATATCGTATTTTCTAACTGATACAAAACAAAACTGGTTTGAATGGAATAAAATAATTCGCATCACAATGCTATTGCACGGAACAGCTGTTGTTATTTGTATTCCGAGCAATTACGTCATAATGTAAAATCCATTTGTGTTGGCTTTATGAGCAGAATGTACACATATGGCTCAAATTGTATTGCCGCAGAACGGAATGGAAGCGAATTTTTGTAACGATATTGTACATAGCATAATGAACTTCATGGCCAATTGTATAACGTACAAATTAGATACGATGCAAAAATCACGTCCACGTTTCCGCGGAATTCGCGCGTGCTCGAGAATGCTCGCGCATTCGCAAGAATTCGGCAGCTGCCGTTGGCGGGATCTGCGGGAAGTGGCGCGAAGGCCGGCGCAGTATGACGTCAAAGGTCGACGAAATACTACATAGATGTGTACCTATATTTATATAAAACGCTGAGTAGATATATAGGAGAACTTTTTGATATAGTCTCTAGTTGATTTTGTTATAATAAAGGACCTAGTAGATTACTATTGTTGTTTAGCAAGGTTTCAAAATAGGTATACACAAGTGAGTAATTTTCTCGGTTAAACATTTAAATCGATTATAATGCCTTTTACATTATAATATTTTGCGTTATTTCATGGCTATTAAGTACGTAATTGTAACGTAGAAGTACAGTAATGAGGAAAAAAATAAACGTGTACTTTCACAGAATTCCTTGCAATTCTGTAGCAATTCCTCTCATTTTCGTAAAATTGTCCCACATTCCGATGAATTCTATCCAATTCTTTTAATTTTGATTTTATAATATTCATAAATGGTTTGTAACGAGAATTTAGTGTAAATAAGTATCTTCATTGATAAAACAACAACATAAAAAGATTAAATTACCAAGAATTTCACGAATTTTCAATTATTCGGCTGGCAATTAGTTAAAAGTTGTCGATGTCAACAACAAACAATCTCAAATAATGTTCATAATTTAGAAAACAGGAACAGCCCAAAAGCAAAGCCCAAGAGTCCCAACAAAAATACATAAAAAATAACCCAGCGCACAGTCAACTTCCAAGACGGCGAAAGACTGCGCGTTGCTCGAGCGCGGACTGCGGGTGCCGCTGGATTGGTATCAGTGTTGACAATTCAAAATTTGCAAAAAGGAAATACAAATCTGGCTAGGAGTACGGGGCTCTTATAAATTTGATAAATTATAAATTTATTTGCAATAGGTCAAAGATGCTATATAAATAATTATATAAAATACACCTATTTTTACACATTTTTGTTTTAATATTTATTAAGCAATATTTTTTCCGAGAAATCGAAGTGACTCGGTGAAATTCGGTGATTAATTGCTTCCAACACTATTATTAAAAAAATAGCTTTAGGACGTAACTGTTTTCAGGACATTTCAGAGTAACTCAAAATTGCATTTTATATTGTAATTCGTGCGAAAACAGTACTTCAAATATGTTTCGTCATATTATATAATGTTACATTAAAATTTATGTATTTGTTTAAACTCAATTATGCTAATAATTGTATGTTTATTGTTTCGCTGATCGCATTCAAAGTTATATACTATCGCCTTCTTTAGCTGTCAAATGTGGCCTCTTATT